GTCGTGATTGTCCCTCTTGCATTGTGGCGTGGAATAACATAGCGCAAACCACGCTTCAAAATTGGGCATAAATCAAAAATCCAGTTCTTTTGGATAGTGGGCCACTTCAGAGGACGCTGCCTCAGCTCTCCCCATGGTGTCTATGGAGCAGAAACCCAGGAGGGGTTTGGTTCTCATCAGGGCTTTGAAACTAAGGACAAAGCCGTCAGGAATCCTGTTAGCAGGATTCCAAGGCGTGGTTGTCTAGAGGAGGGTGGCCTTCAAGCTGTGACTTTCATAGCAAATTCAAAAAGCTAAGCTGTTCATCTGCTGGTCCCTATCCTGACCCTCATAAAAGGCCATGGTGGATAGGTGATGAAAGGGCAGAGGTCCCAGATAGAAACAGCTGGGATCAACCTCTCTGTCTGGTGACTGGACTCATTCCCACAGGCTGGAGGAGAAGCTCCATCTGTTCTCTGGTGGAGAACCTTCAGACCAAAGCTGATATTAACTGGTCCCACACTAATTACATGAACCGATGCAGGAAAAACTTTACCTGAGGTGTTCCTGAAAGATCACTCACCCTTTCCTCCTCGAAGCTGATGAGTCCTTCATCATCATCGCTCTCCAGCTCCTCTGGTTCCTCGCTGATCAGAGCATTAAGCTCTGTGTTGGCAGGCCGAACCTTCAGGAAGCTAAAGAGGCGCTGCAAGGGGGACTGCCCACCACCAGGGGGCAACACGTCCTGCTGCTCCAGGTTGTCGCTCTGCTTCTTGGCAAAGTTAACAAACACCTAAGTAGGAAAAGAGGAGCTGCTTAGTGATTGGTCCCCATGGAAACATGTCATGCTGTTATGTTGCGACCCGTCTGAGTGACACACATTGTCCAGCGTGGTCTGACTGACGGAGTAGTCCTCTATGCCCAGGACCTCCACCACCTGCTCCATCTTACTGAAGACCTGAGCCAGGGAGATCCTCTCAGACTTCAGCTGGTACTGGACCTTGGTGTGGTGGCGCTCCTGCAAATATGTCAGTAGATTGCACATTATAGGAACCCAGTCTGTGGGTCTAAGAGGCAAAATGTTCTGTTTTTCCTGTGGAAATGAGGCTGGAGCTCAGGTTGGTATGCAGCTAAGGCTCTTTTACCTTCAGAATGGCTTCTGGGAAGTTTCTGTTGAAGAATCGTACCACCTCCTTCACATTGGAGCTGCTTTTGGTCCTCACAGTTATCATGTAGCCATCTCCAAACCTGGAGGATCATCACAGAGGAACTTTCTAGCAACAGTTTCTCCACTCAGTCTGATCATTCTCAGGTTAGCATTTGAACCATTTTCCATCTAATCTGTTGTCCTAACTAATCAATGTGAGGATTTAGTTACTGAATAAAATTCTCGGTATTTATATGATCCGTTACATGTCCAAATATCACAGACACTACGTGGGCTCAGATTTCAACAGGAAGCTGTTCCAATAGTGGAACTGGGTCCAATCAGAAAATGATTCCAACCAGAAACCAGTTCCAGGCATTAAATTGGTTCCAAGCATGGAGTCTTTCCCAACTGGGGAATTGGTTTCAATAGTGAAGTCTGTTGTGACCAGGAATGATTTACAACCAATGGAAACTGGTTCCAATCAGAAACTGTTTCCAACGGAGGAACCGGTTCCTGATTCCACTGTTGCAATTGTTTCCAAATCAGGAACTGTGACAACCATGGAATTGGTTCCAATGTAAAATTGTTTCAAACCATTAAATCTTTTCCAAACATGGACTATTATGTGCAATTTCAACCATTCCAACCTCGGAATCACTTCTATTAGTATTTGGTGAAAAAACTGAAATCTGTTCCAACAATGGAGTCTTTTCAAACTGTGGAGTTGGTTGGAATCAGGAATCTGTTTCAGTGTTTGGGTCTCTTCCTTACAGGAAGCGACTCCAGTGGTGCAATTGTTTCAGCTGTGGAATCAGTTTCATTAAGAAACTGGTTCAGAATGTGGAATCGTTCCAACTGTGGAACCAGCTCCATTCGGGAACTGGTTCAGACCGTGGAGTCGTTCCAGCCATGGAATCATTTCCATTCTGGATTTGGTTCAGAATGTGGAGTCATTCCAACTGGGGAATCGGTTCTATTAAGGAACTGCTTCAGAATGTGTAGTCGTTCCAAACCATGGAATCAGTTCCTTTAAGAAACTGGTTCAGACCGTGGAATCGTTCCATCCATGGAATCAGTTCCTTTAAGAAACTGGTTCAGACCGTGGAATCGTTCCATCCATGGAATCAGTTCCTTTAAGA